TATTTTATTTTTTTAAGATTTTATTTATTTATTTGACAGAGATCACAAGTAGGCAGAGAGGCAGGCAGCGAGAGAGGGGGAAGGAGGCTTCCTGCTGAGCAGAGAGCCCCATGTGGGGCTCGATCCCAGGACCCTGAGATCATGACCTGAGCCGAAGGCAGAGGCTTAACCCACTGAGCCACCCAGGCACCCCGGGAGCTGACTTTAAACATCGCCCAATTCAAGATACAATTACTTTCTGAGTTGAAGCATTCGTAGTTACTTAGACCAAATACTTTGGAACATGCTTGCTTCTTCTCTTTCTCTCTCTCACACTGCTTATCCAAGCCATTGGTGATACACCTTTAAAGTATGTTTCAAATCTGACCACTTCTTACCACCTTTACCTTTATTATTCAAATCCGGGTGACCATCACCTTTTGCCTGGACTATTGCAGTAGCCTCCCGGCTGGACTCTCAAGAGTTCCCTCTCTCCGTGACAGCCAGAGTGAAGTTTCTAAAACATAAGTCTGCTTATGCTATTCCTCTGCTCAGAGGCTTCCTGTCGCCCCTTATTTTATTCTGAATTGAAGGCAAAGTTCTTGTAAAGACCTCCCAGGCAGTCATAGTCTTGTCTCTGGTCACCTCTATAACGTCAGACTCTGTGAGCAATGAATTGAAATCCACTTCCTGGGAATGGCTGGAGAAAAGACAACCCGAGGCCTCCTTCACAGCTAGCAGATTTTCCAGGAAGCACAGTGTGACACAGTATGACAGCCTCCCCATGCTGGACTCTGCAGTAAATCTACAAATAGCAAGAACAATATGGCAAGTCAGAGGATTTTAAAGACATCCTTATAAATGTAAGTTAAATAGAAGTTAAACATGAAGGGGGCACCTGGGTGGCTCAGTCGGTTAAGCTTCCAACTCTTGATCTCAGCTCAGCTCTTGATCTCAGGGTTGTGAGTCTAAACCCCTCCATCAGTCTCTGCACTGGGCGTCAAGCCTGCTTAAGACTCTCTCTCTCTCTCTCTTTCTTTCTCTCTCTCCCCTCTCCCTCTGTCCTCCCTCCTCCCTCTAAAAAAAAAAAAAGCAGACAAAACCTGCTAAGCTATGTTCCACAATGACTATGCCATGCCTACCAACAATGCAGGAAAACCCCAATTTTCTACATCTTCACTAATATTTATTATGATCCTTTTTGAAAGTCATAGCTGTCCTAGTGGCTGTGAAAGGGCATCTCACTATGCTTTTGAATTTGTTTCCCTGATGATTGATGATGTTGAACCCCTTTTCGTGTGTCTATTGGCCATGTATATATATGATCCTCTGCCAAGTTTTCAGTTGGTCTTTTTGTTGTTGAGTTGCAGGAGTTTAAAAAAAATATTCTTGATACTAGACCCTTATCAGATATATGATTTGCAAATATTTTCTCCCATTCTGTGGGTTGTCTTTTCACTTTCTCATGTCTTTTGACGCACAAACATATTTATTTATTTATTTATTTATTTATTTATTTATTTATTTAAGAGAGACTGCAAGAGAGAACACAAGCGGTGGGGAGGGAACAGAGGGACAGGGAGAAGCAGACTCCCTGCTGAGTGGGGAGCCCAACATGGAGCTGGATCCCAGGACCCTGAGATCATGACCTGAGCCAAAGACAGACGCTTCACTGACTGAACCACCCAGGTGCCCCAACATTTTTAAATTTTAATGAAGTTCAGTTTAATCTACTTTTCCTTCTGGTTGCTTGTACTTTTAGTGTCATATCTAAGAAACTGTTGCCTAATCCAAGGTCAGAAAGAATTATGCTTATGTTACTTTCTAAGAGTGTCATAGGTTGGCCTTTTACATTTAGGCCTTTGGTCTGTTTTTTTAGAGGGGGGAGTGGCAGAGGGAGAGAGAGAGAGAGAGAGAGAATTTTTTTTCTTAAGATTTTATTTGTTCATTTGACAGAGGCGGGGAGAATAGCGGGCAGAGGGAGAGGGAGAAGCAGGCTCCCCACCTAGCAGGGAGCCCGATGTGGGGCTCAATCCCAGGACCTTGGGATCATGATTTGAGCTGAAGGCAGATGCTTAGCGACTGAGCCACCCAGGCACCTGAGAGAGAGAGAGAGAGAGAGAGAGAGAGAGAGGGAATCTTAAGTAGTCTCCATGCCCAATGCAGAGCCTGAGGCGGGACTCAGTTGCACACCGCTGAGATTATGACCTGAGCCAAGGTTAAGAGTTGGATACTTAACCAGCTGGCCTACACAGGTGCCCCCAGTCTATCTGGAATTGGTTTTTGTAAAAAGATTTTATTTATTTATTTGATGGGGAGAGACAGACAGACAGCAATAGAGGGAATACAAGCAGGGGGAGTGGGAGAGGGAGAAGCAGGCTTCCTGCTGAGCAGGGAGCCTGATGTGGGGTTTGATCCCAGGACCCTGGGATCATGACCTGAGCTGAAGACAGATGCTTAACGACTGAGCCACCCAGGCACCCCTGGAATTGTACATGGTGTGAGATCGGGGTAGAGTTTCTTTTCAGTTATTCTTCTGGTACTAGTAAAGCTCCCAATTTTAATTACCAGGCTCAGCACAGAGATAGCAGTCCCCAAACATTTCCAGCTGGGTAGCATTTGATAATTTAAACGATATTCTCTTGTGTGATCTCTCTAGTTATCTCTAATTATCTAATTATTAATGATCTCTCTCTAATTATCAAGTCAGATAATTACCCAATTTCAGATATAAGAAAACAGACTTGGAGAGGGTGAGTGAGTTGCCTAACATCATGTAGGAACACAAATGGCAGAGTCAGAACTTGCTACTGTGGGAGAGAACCCTTGAAAAGGGGAGATGGAAGTCCTGGTCACAGTCTCGATTCTGCTGCTTGTGTTCCTATGAAGTTGTCGTAGTCATATCCCTCTCAGGCTCTCAATTTCATCATGGGTGGGTTAAGGGATTTGATCTTGAGTAACTGCAGTAACACTTTACTGAGCATCTACGGCATTCCAGGCTGTGCCAGGCGCTTTAAGGATAACACCTCGAATTTTTTTCAATAACCTTACTAGGCAGCAAATCTTCATTTCCCAGAAGAGAAAATGAACACTCTGCAGTCAGTACCTGAGAATAATCAGCCTGGAAATGTCAAGACCGTTCCAAGAACCCACCCTGTTTCCTCTTAGCCATGTACCCTTCCTGAGTCTTTGTCCTCATCTGTAAAGGCTAATTAGCATTCCTTCCTCCTAGGATTGCTGTGAACAATGTGGACGGAGACCCTCACTCGTGGACAGAATCCTTACTGAGCACCGACAAGATGCCAAACCCTATTGTAGGCGAAGATAGAGGGCAAGACAAAATCCCTGCCCTCACGGAGTTGACTTTCTAGAAGGGGGAAGGGAAACAGAACAAAGACACTTGCCCGTATGCCCACGCACACACACCGGGTAATATCATATAGTGATGAATGCTAACAGAAAATAGCGTGAGGGACGCCTAGGTAGCTCAGTCGGTTAAGCGTCTGCCTGCTTTCATCTGAGGTCAGGATCCCAGGGTTCTGGGATCCAGTCCCCCATTGGGCTCCCTTGCTCAGCAGGGAGCCTGCTTCTCCTTCTACCTGCTGCTCCCCCTGCTGTGTTCTCTGTCTCACTCTCTGACAAGTAGATAGATAAAATATTAAAAAAAACAAACAAACCACCAAAAAACAAAAAGTAGCATGAAGTGGCAGTGGAATGAGAACAATCCGAAGCAGTCACATGCGCTGAGAACTGAATGATCCGAAGGAGGCCGACGGGGGGAAATTTGGGGGCAGGCTGTCCAAGTAAAGGTTATGGGACTAGGTTAACGCAAGAACCTTTTCTGCATTTCCACAATGGGCCAGTAACTGTATTGGGCAGAATGTTCGGGGGGGCGGGGGGGGGTACATTCCGGTGGTCCAAGGGCTCACTGTGCAGGAGCGGACAACACAGGGCGGATCGATCCTCCGCCGATGAAAGGGCGCATCTAATCAAGAGGTGAAACAATTTTTATCTGTGTTTTTGCAAACGTGTCCAGCAGGCTCAGAGACATTACCTTAAGAGATCACTGACATGCCCACGTTAGGGCTCTGGGTTAATTTTTTTCCCTCACAGCTACTGGGCTGCTTGTGGCTTCGATTCCCCCTCCGGACACCAGGGTGCGCTAAATACTCTCAGTGTCCGCTGACGCCGCCGCGCTCTCCCCACACCTTCTCGCTGCACCGCACTTCCGGTGGCAAGCGGAAGCGGGGGCTCGCAGCCGCGGGTGCCGGGGCCGGAGGCATGGCGGGGGCGGGGCTGGGGGAGGTGCGTGCCGAGCAGGCCGGGGGGTTCTTCTCCCCGGCCCTTTGAACGAGGACCGTACAGGTGAGGACTTCTCCTTTCTTGGCCCAGCTTCCAAACCCGTCAGGCCTCCCCCGAGGCCTTCCCGCGTTCCCGCTGTGGGGCGGCCCCCTCCCCGCAACACGCCGAGGCCCCGCGGCTCCCGCCCTCCCTGAGCGGTCCCTTCCCTTCGAGGCCCCGCCCCGGGCTTCTCTTTCCGGGGGCGCCCCCTTGGGGGTGTGTGCCCGCCCCTTGGTATCCCCTTACCGCTTTGGAAGCCGTCACTGCGACTTGAGAGGTGTGTGCGCCAGCCCTTGTGGGGAAGCTGAGACGCATCAAGGGGAAAAGGACTCATAGTGCCACACGAGGAGCGAGTGGCCCCATTCAGCCAGGCTTTCTTCTTTCATTCATAAATAACGTACCGAAGGCATACGAGGGGCCAGCCCCCTTGCTGGGCACTGAGAACACTGAGGTGACCGAAGCAGACATGGTTGCTTTCTGTATAGGGAGTACGGTGTAGTGGGGAGTCAGTCATTAAGCACACAACCGTGCAAGTAAAGGCAGATGCGCGCATTGTGGCCGTTACTGTGGAGAAGACAGACGGAGAAGTAATGGGGAGGCCTGCTGTAGAGAGAAAGATCAGAGAGGAGATGACACTTGGGCTGCAACTTGAGAAACTATGCAAGGGCCCGGGGAAAGACGTCCTAGGCAGAGGGAACAGCTCCTGTGGATGTCTGGGTTGGCAAAGAACTTGGCGTGAGGCAGGTCCAGCGTACAGGAAAGGAGGCTTAAGATGTGTCCAGGAGGGTGATGGGGCGGACAGAATATGTGTACAGGTCAGGAGCTCACCATTAGTGCCACAGGTAGGAGTGAAGTGCAGAGACAGAGTTGAAGGATGACAAGTGCTGTGAAGGCGAGATGTGGCTCTTAAGTTGGTATTTGAGCTAAGGGGGAGGTGAAGGAAGACTTCTCTGAGGAGGAGATAATTAGGTTGATGTCTGAAATTGGAGTTAGCAAAGGGAGCAGAAGAGCTTTTTTAGATTTCAGTTAATAGCAAGTGCCAAGCTTCTGAGGCAGGAGGTGGGATCCCTGTTGAAGAAGTGGTTCGAGTTAGTGGGAAAAGATGGGGTTGGAGAGGCAGAGCTGAGACCTTTGAGCACCTGGCTGGCGTGTTAAAAGATTTTGATTCTGCACATAAAGAGCAGTGGGAAGATACTTCCCTGTTTTAATCCGTAGTGGAAAGGGCGTGGTCACAAAAGCATTTTTGGAAAGATCATTGGCTGTTGCAAGGAGTGGGTTTAGGTAGGAAGCTGATGCGGTATCGCAGGCGTGAAATTATAAAAGTTGGGATAAGGGTACGGCAGGTTGTGATAGAGGTAAGATGAGAGGGCTATTTAGTAGGAGAGAAAACCTCCAGAGTTTGATGACTGATCGGGGCCCAGGGAAAGAGGTGTCAAGGAAGACGGTCGGGTGTCTGGTTCCTGATGAGCAGGAGAGTAGCTGGGCCATTCACTGGTCTAGGGGAGCTGGGAGAGGGCCAGCTTTTGGGAAAATAACATCAGTTACTCTGACTCTTTTTATAATGATTCTCACCCTGATTAGAAGGGACTGACTTTCTTTCTTTCTTTCTGGAAATATTTTTACTTATATTTTGGAGAGAGAGAGAGAGAGAGAGAATAAGAGAGAGAGCACAAGTGAGGTGGAGAGGTAGAGGGAGAAGCAGACTCCCCACTGAGCAGGGAGCCTGATGAGGGGCTCGATCTCAGGACCCCAGGATTATGACCTGAGCCAAAGGTAGGCGCTTAACTGACTGAGCCACCCAGGTGCCCTAAAGGGAGTTTCATTTCATACTTTTTCTACAGTGTTTGAATTTTTATGAGCGTGTATTATTTTTTAATCAGAACAATAAGAGAACAAGTTGAAAAAGGCTTAAATACCTTCACCATATCTCTAAAAATCACAGTTGTGTGATATGAAATAGAGTGTGTGTGTGGAGGGAGAGAGAGCGTGCATGCTGAGAGAAGTGTTGGGAAATTCAGTGAGGATTTTGTGTGTAATTTGGAGCTGAAGTTAACAGGTCCTCAATTCCACTTACCCTACCCCCTCACACATTTCACACCAGTGTCTGGTGTCTTTGCCTTTTTTTTTTTTTTTTTAAGATTTTAATTATTTATTAGAGAGAGAGAGAGAGCACGAGACAGGAGGAGGTCAGAGGGAGAAGCAGACTCCCCATGGAGCTGGAAGCCTGATAGGGGACTTGATCCTGGGACTTTGGGATCATGACCTGAGCCGAAGGCAGTCGCTTAACCAGCTGAGCCACCCAGGCGCCCCTGTTGTCTTTTCCTTAAGAAGACAAATCAGAGAATTTAAGATTGGGCTATACACAGTGTGCATCAGTTTTCTTAGAATTAAGCAACTATTTTGCTTAATATGATCAGTGGCTCTTTTTTTTTTTTTTAATTTTGGAAAAAAGCATGAGAAGGGAAGGTAGTTTTGTTTTTTTTTTTTTAAAGATTTTTATTTATTCATTTGACAGAGAGAGAGATCACAAGTAGGCAGAGAGACAGGCAGAGAGAGGGGGAAGCAGGCTCACCGCCGAGCAGAGAGCCCGATGTGGGGCTCGATCCCAGGACCCTGAGACCATGACCTGAGCCGAAGGCAGAGGCTTAACCCACTGAGCCACCCAGGTGCTCCTCAGTGGCTCTTTCTAAGTTGAACGGCTGTAGTGTACTCGTTCCCACTCAGCAGTTTGTCTGCTAGGTGGTGTCTCGTGCCTAGTCCTCCCATGCCTGGGCCTTATCTGCTTCTGTCTTCCCATTCCGGTCACCCTGACTCCAGCCCTCATCTTAGGCTGGCAGAGGTGCCCTTGGCAGGGATTGAGTGAGGCAGTTTTGTATGCTGTTTGGTATTTTGAAATGCTTAAACCTTAATAGTGTGTTTTTTAGGCTGTGTTACAATAGCCACAGCAACAATGTCACTGTTAACACGGAGTAGCTGTGTGAAATTCAGGATTTGTTGTTCGGATATGGAGGACATTGCTCACTTGATCATGCCAAGGTCCTTTGAGAAAACTTAGGAGAGGGATTGCTTTTAAACTCCAGTGCCGGGAAGAGCTGTGCTTCTTCCAGGCCTCGGTTAAGTTTCTATCTTATTGGCTGTGCAGATTCTGTAACTGATTGGTTTTTCCTTTTTGCTTTGCTTGGAAAAATCAAGGCCAAATTAGAAGCTTGGCAGTTCTTCAAGTCTACATGGTACGCATTTCTCTGTACATCTGGCTTCATCTTACTCTCCTGACTTAGTATTTTCTTCACGATGATTGTTTCCTAATAAAAGAAAAAAAAAACCAACTCTGAGTAAGTTCAAATAATACTTTAAAAGTATATGTAGTCTTTAAAGTATGATAGTACAGTGAATGCTGATTTAAGAAAAAATACCACATCAGAGCTGCCAGTGTGTCCCAATCCCCATCCCATTTCTTACTTCTTACAGGTAACCACTGTTCTGAATTTTTTGTTTATAGTTCCTCTGTTTCCTGTAATTGTATACCACATACATTGATAGCTTTAAACTAGAAATCGTTTGAAGCTTGTATAAAGGGAGTCACACAAGACGATTCTGCTGCTTGATTCAGGCATGGTTGTATTCTGAGGGTGTATCATTGTAGCGCACTGATTGGTGGCTTCGTAAGATTCCACCGCGTGGGTATGCCTGGAAGAGTCGATCTAGTCTTCTGTTCATGGGCATTTGGAGTGTGGTCAGTTTCTGCTGTTGCTAACAGTCCGGCTGCAGACATTCCTGTCATTCATGTGCAGACTTTTCTCTAGATCAGAGTTTCTCATCCTTAGCACCGTTGACATCTTGGTGTCAATGTGGAGGACTGTCCTGTTCACTGTAGGATGTTGGGCGGCACCCCTGGCTTCTATTTGCTGGACACATAACATCCCTCCTTTCCAAGTTAGGACAACCAAACATTGTCTCCAGATGTTACAAAATTGCTGCAGTTAGGAACCAGTGCTCAAGAGAGGCTGATGTGAGGGGCCAGACACTAAGTATTTCAGGCTTGTGGGCCATGTGGTCTTTGGTCTCAACTAACCATCTGTGTGCCTTTGTAGGACGAAAGCAAAGCATAGGTAATATGTAAATGAATGGGAAAGGCTATGTTCCAATAAAACTTTATTTACAAGTAAATAGGCAGGCAGACAAGATTTGGCCCGGGGATAGGCAGTGAGCACTCTTTTGCTGCAGTCTAGATCAGTAGGAAATACATTTTATATCTTCACCCCGTACCTATAATTCATATATATAATTGAAACATGTTTCATGAAATAGTATTTGCCCATATTTTTTATTTTATTCCACTTTTTAAAAAGTCAATTATATCCACTAAATTGATTTCAAGGCCTCATTAATGAGGAGTGACTAGCAGTTTGAGAAATTTAGTGTGGTCAGTCATGGAGGTATGCACGTCTTTAACTTGATGAAACAGTATCTATACTTGCGTAAACACTTCGAATCCCTTTTAGAAGGAGACAATATAAACAAATACCACATTGTGTGTTAAGTTTTTATTTCTAAAATATAGATGGAGAGGGAAGGAGACAAACCATAAGAGACTCTTAATCTCACAAAACAAACTGAGGGGGGGCGCCTGGGTAGCTCAGTGGGTTAAAGCCTCTGCCTTTGGCTCAGGTCATGATCTCAGGGTCCTGGGATCGAGCCCCGCATTGGGCTCTCTGCTCGGCGGAGAGCCTGTTTCCCCCCTCTCTCTCTGCCGGCCTCGCTGCCTCCTTGTGATCTCTCTCTCTGTCAAATAAATAAATAAAATCTTAAAAAAAAAACACCAAAAAAAAAAAAACAAAACGGGGGGAGGGGGGGGGGGGGGGGGGGGAGAGGGTCGTTGGGTTATGGACATTGGGGAGGGTATGTGCTATGGTGAGTGCTGTCAAGTGTGTAAACCTGGCGATTCACAGACCTGTACCCCTGGGGCTAATAATACATTATATGTTTATAAAAAAAATAAAATTAATAAAAAAAAGAAAGATAAAGAAAATTTTATTGGAGTACAGCAAAGAAAGAAAGAAAAAAAAAAGAAAGGAGAAAAAATAGAGCCTTCAAAATTGTAACTAAGGACTTCAGGATGAAATCATCTTGGATTTAAAGTGGCCCTTAAATCGTATAACTGATTCCTTGTACACAGCAGAGAGGGACAAGAAGGTACAGGGCCGGCAGGGAGCTGGGGGGGTGGGGGGGCGGGGAGCCTTGTGAAGATGGAGCCAGAGACTGAGTTTTGCTGCTACTACCAAGGCTGCTAGGAGCCACCAGAAGGTGGCAGAGGCAAGGACGGATACTTCCCTACAGACTTCAGGGGGAACATGGACCTCTTAAAGCCTAGATTTGGGACTTCTATCTTCTGGATCTGTAAGGTAATAAATTTCTGTTATTATAAGCCAAAAATACATATCGATATATCTATATATATAGATATATATATAGATGGAGAAGTTACTCCATGCTTAAAATGTGTAATAGCTGGTGTGGTGTGGAGTGGCGTGTGAAGTGTTTTCCAGTTTGGCTCCAATCTGCTTTTCTGGACTTCTCTTTTATCACTCACGCTGTGCTTCCTGGGCTCTAACCACTTGGGATTACTCTGTTTCTCAAATTTATCATGCCACATTCTTTCCCAGTGTATTTTTTAGGCTTCCTTCTTTCTGAAATGTTCCTCTTTTACTTTGCCTAGTGAATTCTTGATCCTTGGAGGCCCATGTTGGAATGTTGCTCCATTCATTCATTTACCATGTTGCTGAGCCTTTACTGTGCCTCAGGTACTGCCCCAGGTGATGGAATTCACCTAGAGTTGGGCAGGGCTCCTGGGGCTGGGTTGTGGTGACAGATACTTGTAAGGTAATCAAGATAATTTCAAAACATGCTGAGGGCTAAAGAAAAGAAAATAGGGTAGAATGAGAGTTGATATGAATGGGAAGATAGGGAAAAATCTGAAGAGTTGCCTTTTTAGCTGAGATTTGACTGTTGACCCAGAGGCAACAGTTCGAAAATGTTGTTGTGCTTCCTTCTGGTCTCCATGGTTTCTCAAGAAATCCAGACATTTGAATTGTTCCCCTCAAGGTAATATATCATCTACCTGGCTGCTTGTAAGATTTCTACTTTGTGTTTTAGTTTTTGACTGTAGTGTGTCTGGGCATGGATTTCTTTGGGTTTATCACATTTGGGGTTCTCTGAGCTTCCTGAATCTTGGGTTTACATCTGTGAGGATTTGTTTCTGGATTCTCTATTCCATTGGTATATTTGTTTTTATGCCAGTACCACAATTTTTTTTTTAATTACTTTGGCTTTGTTATATGTTTTGAAATCAGAAGGTCTGAGTCTTCCAACTTTCTTCTTTTACAAAATTGTTTTGGCTGTTGGGGTTCCTTGAGATTACATGTGCATTTTAGGATAAATTTTTCTATTTTTTCAAAAACCACCATTGGGGTTTTGTTAGAGATTGCATTGAGTTTATAGATTGCTTTAGGTAGTATGGACATCTCCCTCGCCTTTTTTTGAAGATTTTATTTATTTATTTGAGAGAGAAAGAGAGATCACAGGGGGGAGAGGGAGAAGCAGACTCACTGCTGACTGAGCAGAGAGCCCAATGTGGGGCTCGACTCCAGGACCCCGAGATCGTGACCTGAGCTGAAGGCAATCACTTGACTGACTGAGCCACGCAGGTGCCCCAGGTAGTATGGACATCTTAACAGCTAGTAAATACATTTCTTTAATGAACGTGCACGAGATGTTACTCTTATACTGAACAAATTTGATATAATTCTATGTTTATTTTGTTGAATATTCCAACAGCTAAGAGTGCTTTGAAGGTGTTCCTAGTGAATTAGGTCCTTCCCTCAAACCTGTTTTTAGAATCAGAAATGTCAGGACTGTTTTCTGACTGTGATCTGTACAGGAGAAATGCTGATCACTGTCACCCTGCGAGCTCTTAGGTCCAGGTTATCAGGAGGAAAATCGCTTTGACTTCTGTATATTTATGTTTTGGTCATTTTTGTTTTGCTTTCTTGACTTCTTCACTTTTCCACGCAGAGATGTGATAATGGATCATCATGTTTCCACTATCAAACCTCGAAGAATCCAGAACCAAAATGTCATTCACCGCTTGGAACGGCGGCGAATCAGCTCAGGCAAGGCAGGCACCCACTGGCATCAGGTCCGAGTGTTCCACCAGAATGTCTTCCCCAACTTCACGGTTGTCAATGTTGAAAAGCCTCCGTGTTTCTTGCGTAAATTCTCGCCTGATGGGCGCTACTTTATTGCTTTCTCTTCAGATCAGACCTCTCTTGAGATCTATGAGTACCAGGGCTGCCAGGCAGCTGAGGACTTACTGCAGGGCTCTGAGGGGGAGATCCTGTCCAATGGCAATGACCAGCGGTCAGTCAACATCCGCGGCCGGCTCTTTGAACGCTTTTTTGTCCTGCTGCATATTACCAACGTGGCCGCCAACGGGGAGCACCTGAACCGGGAGTGCAGCCTCTTCACCGACGACTGCCGCTGTGTCATCGTGGGCTCAGCTGCCTACCTCCCGGATGAGCCGCACCCTCCTTTTTACGAGGTTTACCGGAACAGTGAGTCTGTGACCCCCAACCCCCGGTCCCCCCTGGAGGACTATTCCCTTCACATCATCGACCTTCACACGGGCCGCCTGTGTGACACCCGCACCTTCAAGTGTGACAAGGTGGTCCTGTCGCACAACCAAGGGCTGTACTTGTACAAAAACATCCTGGCCATCTTGTCGGTGCAGCAGCAGACGATCCACGTCTTCCAGGTGACTCCTGAAGGCACTTTCATTGATGTGAGGACCATCGGCCGCTTCTGCTATGAGGATGACCTCCTCACGGTGTCGGCCGTTTTCCCGGAGGTGCAGCGGGACAGTCAGACGGGCATGGCCAATCCTTTCAGAGACCCCTTCATCAACTCCCTGAAACACCGGCTGCTCGTGTACCTGTGGCGCCGGGCAGAGCAGGATGGGAGCGCGATGGCCAAGAGGCGCTTCTTCCAATATTTTGACCAGCTGCGACAGCTGCGCATGTGGAAAATGCAGCTTCTGGATGAAAACCATCTGTTTATCAAGTACACCAGTGAGGATGTGGTAACCCTGCGGGTCACAGACCCATCACAGGTGTGAAGTGCTCTCGGGCCCTTTATTGCCTCCAGCCCCTTGGGAAAGTGGGAAGGTTTCTCTCTTTGCTTATGGCCAGCCTCTCAGGAATTCCCATTTTCCATGCTCTTGAGTTTTTGTTAGCCTAGGCCTCAGTCTTAAAATAGCTCCCATTTTCTCTGGCCACATGTATGTATTTGGACAAATGGAAGCTAAATCTCAAGTCATTGACACCAGAGTGGTCAGCTCTGTGATTAGTACACTAACTCTCCTGCAGAGCATTTTCACTTCCCTTGAGAAAGAAGCCCAAGTGCTACAAAGTCAAAGTTTGGACTACCGGTGGGTAATCCGGCCTTGACTTTGTGATACTGTGCTTGTTGGTCTGCTTTAGTTCTAGGAATGAGAATGAGCCCACCATACCAAAAAATTTTTCTTTTTTTTTTTTTTTTAAAAGATTTTATTTATTTATTTGACAGAGAGAGACACAGCGAGAGAGGGAACACAAGCAGGGGAGTGGGAGAGGGAGAAGCAGGCTCTCCGCTGAGCAGGGATCCTGATGCAGAGCTTGATCTCAGGACCCTGGGATCATGACCTGAGCTGAAGACAGATGCTTAATGACTGAGCCATCCAGGGGCCTCCCCTGCCAAAAAATTTTCTAAAAATTTGGCCTTCCCTGCTTAAGTGGTTAATTTCATTATACTTCTTCACAGAATCCTTAGGAGGTAACTAATAGGTAAGTTCATCTGGCAGTTAAGTTTTATGACTTTACACTGACCTTGCCCATGTGCTGGACCATAGGCTGTAGAGCAGTGAAAAGATTAAAAGAAAGCCCAAACTTCTGATCCCTCAAGTGAATCATCAGGACTGCAGATCCTAGGGTATTTCAGTTTGGATGAAAGATCTTGGAGAGGAGAGAGCTGTTCCACAAATGGAAATCAAGTGGTGTTAAGGGCACAGAAAGCTCACAAGACTCTTGGGTTAGAACACCATGTTGAAATTCAGGCTGTTTTGGGGCATTTCTCTGAGAAGCTCTCCACTTTAGTGTTGGTCGAGTAAGAGACCTACCTTTCTCTACTCTTGCCCCCTGTTCTCCTGTTTCCAGAATGTCTCCTTAGATAGGAGTTTGGGGATTCAGAATAGACAGCAAACCAGTCAGCCACAAAGAAGGCTGTCTTGTATCTCTCACTGACTTGCACTTGGTTCTAAGAGAGACTGTGTAGGACGCTGTTCCTAAGACCTTACCAGCCGTCCACAGTAAAAGGCTTTCCAGTATCTTCCGAATCATAGGTTGTATATTCTAAAAAAGGTGGGTGGTGGGGAATAATATGGTTGGGGATTAGTTTTTCTGGGTTATTTTCTTTCCTATTAATGATGAAATTGCCCATTGAGCCATCACATATGAGAATCTAGTCCATCTTATGTGTCATAGAAGATTGGCAGTGACACTCTTGACTTCTGTCCCCTTCTGTATTTCCCAGTCTGCCCTGGAGGGAAGGCTGGTAACGTTTGTGTAATTTTATATTCACGTAATTATGGTGCGTCCTGGTGGAGCCCTGATAGGGTCAAAATGTTGTCCAGGTCTATAGAAAGGACATGAGTCAATCTTTTATTTAGGTTTGAGCTATAATTACCTTTTGTCATTTGGAGGGGATAAATTGTCTCTGATAGCCACATTTGAGATTATCCTTCTTCCCTTTGCTAAAACATGACCCACTTATTTCTGGTAGTTCTAATAAATTGTGGCTAGACGCAGTACTGGTGCTCAGTGTTTTGCTTACAGAGCTTGTAACTTTAAACCCAGTTTGCCCTAGTTGTCCTCCCACCCCCTTCCCCAGTTTAATATGATAGGTTCCAATAAGGTTAATGAGAAAAAGTGCATCTACACACAAAGCCTTGCTAATATTATGGGTCTTATTCTCAGGTTACTCTGCAGCCTTTTTAATTTACAGCCATATTTAATTTCCAGGTGACCGTAAAAGTCATGTAATGAAAGCTCTGGGAAGGACTAATGAGTAGTAAAACAGGTGGGCCATGTGGCTCTAGGAACTGATGACTTCAACTCCGTTGTAGGAGGGGGAAGTACTAATCCTAACGTTCTGAAAACTTCTGGAGTCCTGTTGAAAGCTTGCAGATTGGTTCACGTTGCCACATTCACTGGGACAAAAACCAGGGGTTCCTGCACCTTTCTTGTTAGGCAGAGCAGAACACTGGTGGTGCAGAGGGCTGGTCGCCCGGGGGCCAATTCAGAGAAAGTAGTGACTCTGCCACCTATGGCATTTGAATGCTTTTCAGTTTCCCCCTCTGATCTTAATTGCTACAAATCTCGAATGTATCTTCCAAATGCTCTTGGCCGAAAGAATATTTACGAAGGAAGAAAAGGAAAATGCCTCCCTGATCTTTCATTTGTTCAGCAGCAGTTCCCTGTTTGGTTGCAACTTGCCTGGGCGGTTTTAGGACACGGTGTACTTCAGGTGTCTCTCTGCATGATAGAAATCTTAAGAGGAAAAATAAATGTCCCTACATTGAACTTTCAACTGTACATATCCAAGAGAAAATAATTTGTCAACAGGCAGCTACAGCTACCAATCACTTTCTCAGCAGGGAGGAAAATTAAATCTGGCATTTTAAAAAAGTGCTTTTTATTTCAGGTTGGGTTAGGGAACAAGTCAGGAAGAAATACTAGGAAGAAAAAGTGTTGAATTTGCAGAGTCAGAAATGGAAGATTGGAAACCTTTCTACACATACACGCAGGCTAGCTCAGTAATCCTAACAGCACAGATGTGGTGGGAGACCCAGCAGTATTGGCCATGACTGATGGCCCTTGATTGATAAAGTGCACCGAGGCTTCCTCCTCTCCCAGAACCACCTGGAGCCGTGTTTTAAGCTAGTGTAGGAGCAGAAGTGTTTGCTTGTTTTACTTGTTGGAATTTTCAAGCAAGTGGTAAGTTTCCAAGGCATGGCAGTATATCCAGCTGTCTCATAGGTCTCTGTGTTCTTCTGCAGGCATCTTTCTTCGTGGTATACAATATGGTGACAACAGAGGTGATTGCCGTGTTTGAGAATACGTCAGATGAGCTTCTAGAGCTCTTTGAGAACTTCTGTGACCTCTTCCGTAATGCTACCCTCCATAGTGAAGTCCAATTTCCCTGCTCAGCTTCCAGCAACAATTTTGCAAGGCAGATCCAGCGCCGGTAAGCTCTTCCACCAGGCTTAACAGGCCTTAATTTTTCTTTAGCCAATTCACTGGTGTTAGGCCAGTAGTCATGTCCTCCAAAAAACCGTTCCTGTATTCTCTGTGCCCTTCTCGCTTTGGTTTGGTCCGCCTCTTGTAACCCCTTGGGTCATCCTGAACTTCTGTCTGTCTGTCAGCACCTGTGGAATTACTTGTGCGTTATCTCTGATTCGTCCTAGAGGAAGGAGAGCTGTGTGAGAGCTGTAGAAAGAGAGACCACGTCTTTAGTATTTATTGCTGTATTCTCATGATGTATTGTCAAGCATTTAAGTATTTTTTGAGTGAATGACCAGGGAAATAATGTTAGAACTTTTGGTTAAACATGATGTGTTGAACATGTGCATTTATCTCTGCTCTATCCTGTCACCCTACCAAAATGACAATAAAGGAGGAAGAGGTGTAGATATCACAAGAGCCAAAGAAAATGGGAGAGGAAAGGCACTGGACACAGGAGATGATTATCAACGGGAGAGAGATCTGAATCGGTGCTGGGAGCTGAGAAGCCAATTGATCACCAGTAACTTGACACCAACTTGGCACACTTCAGAGAACAAAAGCTTAAGACTAAAGAGCTTAGCCATCAAGAAACAACTTGCCTTGCCAGAGAAATCTGGAAGGGGTTGGGGAATTGGAAGCCCTAGGTACGTCTGAAGATGCCTCTGATGGGTAGGCTTCAATAGGAGGATTGGGTGAGGGTCTGGAAAGGAGTAACCAGGCCCTCTAGCCCCCTTCTCTAAGCCTGTCTTCACCACCTCTTCAGAAGGCTGGAGCTTTATTCACTGGAGAAACTGAACCATGTAGGCTCTGGTTTCATGTTCATGAGGCACAGTTGAGGTAGGGATGAAATTCGTCATGATAAAAACAAGAATTAAGTGAAAACCAACAAAACTGAAGGTGAGATTCCTATCCCCTTTATCAGATTGGACAGCCAGGCTTATACTCCTCAGGGAGGACGTTCGAGATTTTTTCTTCGGGAAGCTGACCAACTAAAGAAGAGACCTTCAGATACTCATACTTAGAGTCCCACCACCAACAGCTGGGTCACCCTAAATTAATACCCCCCATCAGCCAGGTCTTCCCGCGAACCAGTTTCAAATGTAATTATCTGAGTACATTATTGTGAAATGAATGGTTACCTTGGGCCGTTGGCCCAAGCTGAATCCTACTCTAGTCAGTCAGTGCCTTATTGGATGCCGCATACTAAATTGCTCCCCAACCTCTAGCCAGTTAGGGAAAATGTCTGCTTTAGGTTTCAAGATAGATCAGACCAGAGTGAACAGATGACTCAGAGTAAGCATTACTACTGGAAAAAATGAACAAAAATACACTAATGTATGACCTCATCTTTATATAAAAGGGTAGTACTCAGAAATAGATGGATATTGGTTTTCAGACAAGTTACTTGCCTTTTCCTTTTTCTCTGGTTCACACAAATTTTCTGCCTTACAAGCATTCCTTCAGTATAGAAGGATTTTTGGAGGCAGGACCTGGTTCAGAATTCGCTTTTTTCATCTTGGAGTGTATTTTTTTCTTTTCTTTTCTTTTTTTTTTTTTAAAGATTTTATTTATTTATTTGACAGGGAGAGATCACAAGTAGGCAGACAGGCAGGCAGAGAGAGAGGGAAGCAGGCTCCCCGCAGAGCAGAGAGCCCGATGCGGGGCTCGATCCCAGGACCCTGAGATCATGACCTGAGCCGAAGGCAGAGGCTTTAACCCACTGAGCCACCCAGGCGCCCCTTTTCTTTTATTTTTATTATTTTTTTTTAAAGATTTATTTAATTTGCGGGTGGTGGAGGGGCAAAGGGAGAGAGAGACTCTTAAGCAGACTTTACACTGAGTGTGGAGCCCAGTGAGGGGCTGGATCCTGTAACCCTGAGATCAAGACCTGAGCCAAAACCAAGATGCTCCTGACTTTTTTTCTTCTTCTTTTTAAAAAAGATTTTATCTACTTATTTTTCAGAGAGAGAGCCAAGCAGGGGAAGTGGCAGGCAGAGCAGGCAGAGGAGGTAAAGAGGGAGAAGCAGTCTCCCCGCCAAGCAAGGAGCCCGATGACCCAGGACTCGATCTCAGAACTCTTGAGTTCTTGACCTGTGGCGACAGCAGACACTGAACTGACTGAGCCACCCAGGCATCCCTGAATTTTCTTTTAAGTGAGCTTTAAAATCAGGCAGATCATTATCGACTAATTACAAAGATGGGTACAGCTGGCTGAGAGAAAGTATAAAAGAAGTCACTGGAAGGTAAACTCCCATGCGGGTAGAGATTTTAGTCTGTCATATTCACTGCTGTACCCGTAGCACCCAGGCTAGTGTCTTTCATGTGGAAGAAGCTCATTAGGTGTTTGTTGAAGGAATGAACTCCCCCAGTAATTAAAGGAGGCTGTTTTTTTGAGAGTTCTTTCAGAATGCATCTAGAATTAAGTGAAATTGTAGGAAGTCTCAGGAGGAGAAAATAAAAGTTGAAAAGAAAGGTGGAGTTCCAGCTTTGTGATCTTCAGAATTTTATATCATACCACTGGAAGATTTTGACAACCGTAGATACCCTCATGCTTTAATTTTTTAGTTGATCTTAAATTCTTCTGCTGTTAAGTTGTAATAATTGCAGAAAATGCAATTTTCAGTGTATATTTAATATTGGTTTTTAGGGGCGCCTGGGTGGCTCAGTTGTTAAGCGTCTGCCTTTGGCTCAGGTCATGATCCCGGAATCCTGGGATCGAGCCCCACATCAGGCTCCCAGCTCCACTGGAATCCTGCTTCTCCCTCTCCCACTCCCCCTGCTTGTGTTCTCTCTCTCACTATGTCTTTCTCTGTCAAATAAATAAATAAAATCTTAAAAACAAAAATTGGTTTTTAAAAATAAAATTATTACAGGTCTTTTCCCCCAGCCGATTATATTGAGATAAAACTGGCATATAACATTGCATAAGTTGATGATGTATAACCCAGCACTTTTATTTTTATTAATTAATTAATTAAAAGTTTTATTTATTCGTTTGACAGAGAAAGCATGAGCACAAGCAGGGGAAGAGGCAGGCAGAGGGAAGAGGCAGGCAGAGGGAGGAGGGAGAAGCAGGCTCCCTGCTGGGCAAGGAGGCGGATGCAGGGCTCGATCCCAGGACCCAGGGATCATGACCTGAGCTGAAGGCAGATGCTTAACCCACTGAGCCACCCAGGTGCCCCAACTCAATGCTTTTAAACATAACCTGGGGAATCCAGATGCCATAGTAGTTTGGTATTCAGTATTTGATATAAAAGAGGGAGCAAATTATACCAGTACTCTTTGAAATTTTACATTGTTTCCTCTTTTTTTTTTTTTTTAAAGACTTTATTTATTTGACAGACAGAGATCACAAGTAGGCAGAGAGGCAGGCAGAGAGAGAGGGGGAAGCAGGCTCCCCACTGAGCAGGGAGCCCGATGCGGGGCTCGATCCCAGGACCCTGAGATCATGACCTGAGCCCAAAGCAGAGGCTCAACCCACTGAGCCATCCAGGCGCCCCTACATTGTTTCTTCTGATGTTCAAATCCATATATCTGTTTTATCTCCCCCACAGAACTGTATCATAATGTAACATTTCATTAAGCATCTTGTCATGATTTGCTGCATTGAAAATATAATGTTTATATAAGTTGGAATTATTTTTTATTTCTTGTGAACACAGGGCTCTAAAATGCTCAATTTTACAGTCTCCAGTCATCTTTTAGTAAAAATAAATGAATGTGGATCTATTATAGGTTAGAGTAAATGTTCAAGTAAAAAAGGGGCACCAAGGATCGTGAGTTACTTAAGGAAAATCTTTATTTTGAAAGAGACCAAAATAAAACAAACAGTAGAAAGAATGAAGGAATAACACTGCAATCACTGAAATAATTGATGCTATAAAAAAGAAACATTCCTAGAACAGAAACTTAAACTTTGTTAGGTATAGTTGAGGAATTCTCCAAAAAAATAGAATAAACTGATAAAAAACAGGAAAATGGGAGAGAAATGATGAAAAGAAATTAGAGAACTTGCCGAGGACATCCAGTATCTGGTCATTTCCACGAGGCGCAGTAGAGAAAATGATAGGGAGGAAATAATGTAAATATAGTTTTCCAGGCCTGAAGAACATCAATTTCGAGACTGGCAGGACCTTTCAGTGGTGTGCTAGGACTGGCTCATGGTGCCTTTGGCTCAGGTCATGATACTGGAGTCCTAGAATTGAGCCCCATGTCGGGCGCCCTGCTCAGTGGGGAGTCTGCTTCTCCCTCTCCCTCTCTTCCTCCCCTGCTCATGTTCTCTCTCTTTTGCTCTCTCTCAAATAAATAAAATATTTTAAAAAAATCTTATCTTTAACTTAAAAATATTTTGTAGTTATTTTACTACTTATGCTTTTGAGTATATTTGTATCTGTTTTATCTGCATGGTGAAAATATTACCTGGTGATGTGCTACTGCTCATCTTGCGACAGCTCCACATTCAGCAGTGTCACCTTGGTACCTTGAAGTTGACCTAAAAGGTACCTAGAAGTACCTTTTACAGCAGGAGGATTTACAGCACAGAAATTGGCAAGTGCTGCAAAACATGGCTCATGCCCCCACATAAATAATTATCTAGCTCCATCAAGTACCTAATAAAAAAAGACCCATACTGAGGCATATCATCATAAAATTTTGGAACATTGAGGGGGCACCTAGACAACTCAGTCAGTTGGGTGTCCAACTCTTGATTTTGGCTCAAGTCATGGTCTCGGGGTTATGGGATCAAGCCCCACATTGGGTTCCATGTGGAACCTGTTAGGATTCTCTTTCTCCCTCTGCCCCTCTCCACTCATGCTTTCCCTCTTTCTCGCAAATAAATCTTTTAAAATGAGGTTTGGGAACATTGGGGATAAAGAGAAGATGGTAAAAACTTGCAGAAAGAACATAAATTTCACATGGTAAAAAATAAGTCATCAGAATAGTATTGGACTTACCAGTAGTAACACTGAAAGCTTGAAGCCAGTAAAATTATGCCTTCAGAATTCTGTGAAAAAAAAAATGATTTCCAGTCTAGAACTGTATATCCAATAAGGTGGAATAAGATATTTTCAGACATGAAAGTTCTCAAAAAAATTGCCTCTCATGTATCTTTTCTAAGGAAGCCTCTGGAAATTGTATTTTCCACATAAACCACAAAAGTATGGTACAGGAAATAGTCTGAAACTGTAGTTTGGGGGGAACTGATGGTTTTGGAAAAGGTGGGGAAGAATTGATTAAGTGCAGGAGAGGTTGTGGGACCTAGTACTGGAGGTTCAGGAACTAGGAGGCCATGGTACTGGAAGGATAATCTCTGTGAATGTAGAAGTCACCGTGAACTGGGAGAGGCATAACTGGGCAGAGTGACAGTGAACCAGGAGTCAAGCGCCAGAAGATGTTCCAGGGATAACTGCTTCATCCTTTTGTCAGTGGATGGCCCGGAGAGTGGAGCCAGTGGTGCCGCTGGGGAAGACGAGCTGCTTCAGCCAAGAGGCCTTTGTGGAGGCTGTGACTTAGGATCATCATGCAGCCGTGGGCCAGCCCCCAGCATCTGAAGCCAGTGAGCCAGGCAAGGCAGAGTGTGGATTATGAGAGGTACTACTAGATCTCGGCTGGAAAGGAGCTGCAAACCCGAGAGCCCAGAGTCTTTGATTTTAGCCCATTCAAAAGGGAAAGAAAGAAGTTCTCTTTGGCCCAAGATTTAATTTTGTGATTTACACTGAGGCTGTGAAAATTACTGTCAAGAGGAGTAACGGAAAAGCAGTATTGAGAGCTAAGCTTTCTTCGGGGGAAACAGATCTGTTGATGTCCGTCCAGCATAACAGGTTAACGGTGAAGGCAAAAATCCGAACCCATTTCCTCAAGCTTTCTGGTCTCCACAAAGTTGGGAATGTTCAAGTTTTTAAATTTATTTCATTAGTTTTCATTCCATTAATTTCAGGGATGGGATGTTCTGTTTTCTCCCTGCACTAAAAAAATTATTTCCCTTTAAGTTTTAAACTGTATGATAGAGGTGTCTGCCTAGGTGGCTCAGTTGTTAAGCGTCTCCCTTCGGCCCAGGTGGTGATCCCAGCATCCTGGGATCGAGCCCCACATGGGGTTCCTGGCTCAGCGGGAAGCTTGCTTCTCCCTCTCCCACTCCCCCCGTTTGTGTTCCCTCTCTTGCTGTCTTTCTGTCAAATAAATAAAATCTTTAAAAAATATATGATATGCTTTGATACAGAGATTTTTAAAACTGCATTACTGATAGTTGACGTTCTTTCTAAGAAACAATGGGACAGTGAAAAAGAAGAAAAAATATCAAAATGTGATCACACAAATGCAATTATCATTTAGATACATTTCTACCAGTCTTTATTTAGGCCTAATTTTTTTTTTTTAAGATCATGCCCTGAGCCAAAGGCAGATGCTTAACCGATTGAGCCACCTAGGCACCCCTTTTTCTTTGTTTTTTTTAATCATACTGTGTGTACAGACTGTAGCCTGTTGCTTTTACTTACTACCATTATGATAAACATTTCCTCTGTAACCATGTAATCTTTGGATATTGTAGTTTTCCATTAGGTTTTTAATTTTCTGTCAATTTATCATTATCATAAAAAATGCTGTATTGAATGTGCACAGAGATTTTTCTGCGTGTGGGATTGCTTCCTTAGGGTAAATTTCTGGAAGAGTAGAAAAACTTGGTCAAAGGGTATTAAATTTAGTATTCTTGACAGTTGTGAGAAATAATTGCTCCGTTGTTACTATTACTCAAAGTAAATGAGATTTGTGACTCTGTGTCCATGTTACTATTCTTTAGGTACCGATGTTTTTGTGGGAGTACAGACAGCGAGCTCCCAGACTTGAAACAAGGGATGAGTGTTTTTTCGAAAGTTTTGATGAAAGTTGACTTACAACTGATCCCAAGAAGTCGGAGAGAGGCTCCTCTTCTCCATGCATTCCCTGCTCTCTGTAACTCCTTTTTTTTTTTTTTTTTTTTTAGATTTTATTTATTTGTCAGAGAGAGAGAGAGAGAATGAGCACAGACAGAATGGCAGGCAGAGGCTGAGGGAGAAGCAGGCTCCCCGCTGAGCAAGGAGCCTGATGTGGGACTCGATCCCAGGGCGCCAGGATCATGACCTGAGCCGAAGGCAGTTGCTTAACCAACTGAGCCACTCAGGCATCCCTCAGTAACTCCTTTTTAATGCAAGCTGAGACTGCCATTTGGGGAAGTAGATTTGAGTAGAAGTGTTGTCATAGAATAGTTACACTCATTGGAAACTTGTTTAGAGAGTCTGTGTTAACTTTTCTAAAGTGATTCAGTGTTCTTACTTCAAGTTCTGTTTTCTGGTTTTTGAGAATGTTTGTAGCCAGGCAGACTTGTGATGTGTGGGAGTCCTGACGTCCTTCATTATCTGGATTTCTGTTTACAGAATGAGTTGTTTTTAGACATCTTTTATCGACCTGAGATCCAAGGCAGCTTTGCGTGCCTGCTAATGCGGCCTTCCTCCCTGGTGCTTTGTTTTAGGTTTAAAGACACTATTGTAAATGCCAAGTATGGAGGCCACACGGAGGCAGTGCGCCGGCTGCTGGGTCAGCTACCCATCAGTGCCCAATCTTACAGCGGGAGCCCCTACCTTGATTTGTCTCTCTTCAGCTACGATGACAAGTGGGTGTCTGTCATGGAGCGACCCAAGACTTGCGGAGATCATCCTATCAGGTACATGATCACTGCTCCAGCGGCTAACTGCCCACGGGCTAAAGATGGCCTTCTGTCTCTCTCTCTCTGTCTCCCCTTGAACCTCATTCCACTGTGACTGTGCCCACTGGGACTCATGGGTTGATTGGAAGGACAGGCTGTTTTTATAATGTGACGAGTGCTTTTGATCATGTAGGTACTAGTCTCATACATTAAGTAGTTCTGCTCTTTGCTTCTCATCAAAACATCCGATTCAGGTAAGTGTTATTCCCTTTTAAAGGTACCCAGAGTAGGAAACCACATACCGTTTCATAATAGTGTTTATAGTTGAGACTTTCTAATTTTATTTCACTCAAATTATTTTATCCCCTCATGTTACCTAGTAGAAAAGATAGCATAGATAATTTGGGAAATAGGCAGGTTTTGGAGAAACACATGCGTCCTTACATGAGAAATTTTAGAATGTGGACTACTGTGTTACTGCTAGAACCTGGAAAACTAAGCCAGTCCTTCCCTCACAGATGTCTACTCCACAGACCCCCCCCTCCCCCGTTTTCCCCATGTTGGGAGCTTGTGTTTTGTGTGCTGTGTTAGATACTAGGGAGAGAAACTGGTACCATCACCACCCGTGGGGTGATTTCAGCGGGGGTGTGTTCCTGGAACCCTTAGCTGGAGAGTGGAAGGCCTTTTTCACATGGAAGCAGTGTTAGGTAGTGTTTCACTGTTCAGCTTGGACAGTGTGTTCCTGGAACCCTTAGCTGGAGAGTGGAAGGCCTTTTTCACATGGAAGCAGTGTTAGGTAGTGTTTCACTGTCCAGCTTCATTGTGTGCTAAATAGACTTGTGTAACACATTCTGAACAGTTAATCATTGCTCATAGTATTTCCTTTGGGAAATTGTAGTCAAGTTCCAAAAACCAGTTGCCTTTTTTTTTTTTTTTTTAAATTCTGGAAAGCTTTAAACATATAAAATGTGGAAGAGTATAATGAACCTGCACGTACCTACCACCCAGTTTTAACAGTTATAAGGTCATGGTCAATGTTGTCATCTCTTTCTACTCCCCCCACCACCCCCGCCCCACCAAACTGCCACTCTTGATTATTCTGAAGCAAATTCCAGATTTCATAGCATTTTTTACTCATATATATTTCGGCATGAATTTCTGAAAGATAAAGACTTAGAAAAATATATCCTCCGTACCATTACTCTGTCCTAAGAAAATTCTTAAAATTTTGTGACGACCACCAAGTACCTAGTTTTCACATTTTCCTGTTGTCTTGTAAATGTTCTTTTGATGGTTCCATTTGTTCCTATCAGGATCTAAACAAGGTTTACACATTGCATTAGTTGCTACTCCCTTAAATCCATTTTATTCTGAAGGTTCTGCTTCCCTCTTACTACCTTCCTTGCAGTGAAATTGTCCTGTAGTGTTGTCCACATTTGGAGTCTGCTCGTGCATCCCCGGAGTAGTGTTTATGATTTTTCTCATTCGTGTACATTTCCTGTGTACTGGTAGTTCGATTTAGAAGCTCAAACAACTCACTTTACCTTACAAGCCCTTTGTGTGTTGGAGACTGTGTGGGTGAGGTGAATGTGGTTTTCACACAAAAAAGCATATCACGGGCCTCATTTGATATTGTCAAGGTAGTATGAGATACATTCCTCTCCTTTCTGACTTGCTTTTCTAAAATGAAAAGAGAGTAACCTGAGTTACAATTTGGAAATGGCTATTGCCTCTGACCAAAGGGACTTTTCACTTACTTTTAATTTAAAGTGAGAAATGTGAGGATATGAAAGGCATTAGAAGAGGAGATGCCATTACTTGAACACCTGTACTGTGTGTTCCATTCTAGTCTTTGTCAGTACGCATGTTCACATGTGTGTTGTTGTAGTCCTGGTTACATTGTCCTGTGTAGCCTGCTTTTATTTTAGAAACGTTTCTTGACGTTGTTCCATAGTCCTCAGAGTTACCGTCCAATGATGGCCTATCACTCCCTCAGTTAGATGTACCACAGTTGACTGAACTAGTCCCGTCACTGAGCCTTTATTCTGTCTTGCATTTTTACATTGGAGCTGTGCTAGAGTTGCCATCTTTATTCACATCACTATGTCCTCCCTTTAAATTAAGTTCTGAGGATACAAATTCGTGGAAGTGGGATTATTGAGTCAGAGGCTATGAATATCTTTATGTCTACCATATGTTTGCTTTCCAAAAGGGAAGTTATAGAGCTTGTAATTCAGAGCACTTCATTTTCTAGGACTTCCCCTACCTAGTTCAGCCCCAGCCCCACTGAACATCTCTAGTTCCTGATACCCGAGGACGTTTATCATGCGTATGGGAAAATGTCTTTAATTATGGGGATGAATGGAAGTATTAGTTGAAAAATGAAAAACCACTTAGTATTTTGGTTTTGTGTGTGAAAAAGAACCTTCCGAGAGAATTTTTTCTTAAAAATGAAAAACTCAAATACGGGCCAAGATCTGCGCTGTCCTGGATAATAGCCACTCACCACATGTGGTTGAGCACTTAAAATGTGACTAGTCCATGCTGAGACGTGCTCATGTGTCACACATCCGATTTCAAAGGCTTAATACAAAAAAAGGAATGTGAAATACCTCATTAATATTTTTTTTACCTGGATTATAGGTGGAAATGATAATATTTTGGATACCAGTATTGGGTTAAATAAAAAATATATCATTAAAATTAATTTCACCTTTCTCTTCTTACCTTTTTTAATGTGGCTACCTGGAAATTTAAAAGTATTCATGTGGCTTGCATTTCATTTCTAGCCCTAGCCTAGGCAGTCTTGGGGCAGTTTTTCTGGAAAAGGTGTGGCTGTAGTTAAGGCTTTAACTGAGGGTCATATTGGGAAAGGGATGACCCAGTGACTCAGGACAGCTCAGGAAAATTCATAGTCACCCTGGCCATAAAACGAGCTGCTCAGACATAGGTGGTTTTGCATTTCTGATAACCTGGGGCCGATGTAAAAGGCGATATCGTAGGATTAAATAATGAGTTGCCGCGTCCTCGTGCTGTGCAGATTACAAGATGGTAGTGACTATCTGTACCATCTTCTCTTTCTCTCCTTCTTCCGTGTAGGTTCTATGCCCGGGACTCTGGTCTGCTCAAGTTTGAGATCCAGGCAGGCTTACTGGGCCGCCCCATCAACCACACCGTGCGACGCCTTGTTGCCTTCACCTTTCACCCTTTTGAGCCTTTTGCTATTTCAGTGCAGAGGACTAATGCTGAGTATGTTGTCAACTTCCATATGCGACACTGCTGCACGTAGGTGCCTCACCAAAGCCCAGTTATCTCGTCTTCCAAGACATTGCCCCCTGCTTGTGTCGGTGGACTCCGAAGCAGTAGCTCCTGGCTGCAGCTTTGTCGGACCCAGACTCTTGTACCCGAGGCGGGAGAGCCAGAGAGAGGTGCGAGGGTGGCTCACTCAGCCTAGCGGAATTGTTATCGTATTGAAATACTGATGGATTGAAAGTCCCCTGGTCTTTCCCCAGTGGGAATATCCAGCATTAATTACATCCATTTAATTTTTGTCTTATTTTGCATTTTATTGCTTTGAAGATGAAAGCATTACCCCGTTCCCTTTGCTGTTTGTTCTTTGGCATTATGGTCTGTTTTGGCATTATGGCAGTCTGAAGCAGGGATGTCTTACTGACTCACGGGAACTGTGTATATCCTTTTCGTGTGGCCGACAACGGGGCTGTCTTTATTAAAAAAAAAAAAGAAGAAGAAGAAGAAGAAGAATAAAGCCTTGGTATTTTCTTACTTAAATGTATCCCATTTGTTGATTGCCTTATGTCCTTACCTCACCAAATGCTTTTCACCTTATGGGTTCTAGGAGGGACTGTGAAAGGGGTCAGGGGCCATGACTCCAGTGGCCACCCTTGGGAGAACTTAGCGGTGTATGCCAGCGTGCAAGGGTGTTCTCGGCCACGACTGTTTCCTTCCCTGGGGTTCTCTCCTGGTAATTGTTATAGCTGGAGAACTGGGCATAATTGCACATTGTCATGAGGAAGCATGCTCCCATCTGTACCATCTGTGTCATGCGGGTGGAGGAGTGAGTAGTTCTCTTTGGCCACAACAGATACAAACACTGTGTAGCACGTACAGCGTTCGGGGAGTGAGAGCTGGCAGGCTCCTGGCGTCTCTAAAGAGATCAGACTGGTTGTTCCTGGACGGCTAAGCCATCACAGCTCCTACAGACACCTTCTGGCCCCCAGCCAACCTCCTTCCGTATGGTCTCAGCCCGTGATCTCCAGCGGCCCCGTCAGGTTGTTTAGGTTTCATCTGCATAACGTATAAACAGTTTATGTAGTAAGCTTGTTCAGTAATGTCTGACTTTGAAAGCCACCTCGAAATGTTGGGTTTCAGAGCAGGTTGCGAAAGATGCTATGGATGCAAACAGTTGAATTCTGTATCCCTCTGACATCCCTTGGGAACATGACAAATGTGGTGTGAGAAACTGAACCCCACTCAAAGCAGTTCAGCTTACTTCATCACCTTCAGTATTAAACAGCTAAATTCATTCTCATTCAGCATTCAACACAGGATTTGAGCGTCTAGTACGAGAGGGAGATGTGCTACGATGTGGAAGATAAGGAGAGAAATAGGCAAAGAGAATTCTAACGTGGAATGGCCAAAACCCCCGGAGTGGTTATCTGAGAATGGTGGAGGAGGATGAAGGAGAGGTGGAGAAGGAAAGCTCTCCTGGGGAAGGGACTGGAACTGGATAAATAGGAGAGTGTCGTGTGAACCAGGGCCGAGGACAGTCATTTCGAGGAGAGCCCCGGCATGCCTAAAGGCATAGAAGCATGGAAAGGGCTGTCAGGGTTGTGGAATGGTCATTAACAGGGCTGCGGAGCCAGCTGTGGGGGAGGCCAGGGAATGTGGCCGAACCACGAGGAAGAGTCTTGTGTGTGGTGCTGTGTAGGGATTTGTGCAGTGGAAGACCTCATCTGAATTTCACAAAGACGGAGTTGAGCAGTCGGGAAGATGGTTGGGGGCACTAGAGACTGGAGATAGGCCGACAAACCAGTCGCTGGTAATTCAGAGGAGAAAGGGAGGGTTGGGATGACATCCCTGGGCCTTGGGAAGGGTGAAATACTGAAGCGTCCTCCTAGATTCCTCATAGGTCATCACAAAGTCAGGGTCCCACGGCAGTCAGACGTTTGTGGGGTTTAATGAATCTTCGTAGACGCGCTTTACCTGTAGCTTTGTCTTTGTACTGGTTGATTGATTGTTCCTGAGGGACTCGCAGCATGGAAAGAGCATGGAGTGTGAAGTCACTCGGACCTCAGTGTGAATCCCCGCCTTTCTGCTCATTAGTGGTGTGACCCTGGGGCCATTTCCTAGCCTTTTTGAAGCTCAGTCTATATTTCCCTCCACCTTCCTCGTCCACTCCCCTGGTCCTGTCTTTCATCACGTCTGACTACCGAGCAATCCTCATACACCTTCCTTGTCTGTTTCCTCTCCTGTCCCCTAGAATTGCCGCTCGACACCTTCATTTTTCTTCACGACTCTTCTCGTTTCTCATGACCACCTTGCCCCCGACTCTGTGACAGAAATAAAAACAATGAGGTGGGAAATCCCTTATCTTGCACCATATCAGCCACGTGACTTGGCATGTGTGCTCCTTCCCGGCCTTTCCTCCTGGGTAAAATAGCCCTGCTTCCATAGAAGGTCACTTCCTCCACCTGTTCCCTGAATCCTGTCTCTTCTTTCCATGACTTCTCCATGTCTTCGCTCCCACGTTGATTCTTTTGGCCATCTTCCTCTTGGTAATCACGCTGTCAGCACGTTAGATGCCCTTTAGGATCTTTCTTTAAAACCTCCTGCTTGGGACGCCTGGGTGGCTCAGTTGGTTTTAGCTGCCTTCGGCTCAGGTCACGATCCCAGCGTCCTGGGATCGAGTCCCACATCGGGCTCCGTGCTCGGCAGGGAGCCTGCTTCTCCCTCTGCCTCTGCCTATCACTCTGTCTGCCTGTGCTCGGGCACTCTCTCTCTAACAAATAAATAAATAAAATCTTTAAAAAAAATAAAAAAATAAAATAAAACCTCCTGCTTTCAGAGCACGTGGCTGGCTCAGATGGTTAAGTGTCTGCCTTCGGCTCGGGTCATGATCCTGGGGTGCTGAGATCGAGCTCCGCTTTTGGCTCCCTTCTCATCGGGAAGCCTGCTTCTCCCTCACCCACTCCCCCTGCTTGTGTTCCTTCTCTCACTGTCTCTCTCTCTGGCAAATAAATAAATAAAAATCTTTAAAAAAATAAAACCTCCTGCGTTGGCCTCTTCCCTGTTAGTTACTGCCCATCTCTATGTTACCCTTCACAGAAAAATGTCTCAGGAGAGTTGTCTAAATTAAGTGCTAACAAAAATGTCACGTTCCGTTTTTCCTCCTCCCACTCTGGGTGGGCTCGGTGCTCCCACTCCACTGAAACTGCTTATCTCGGTTCTGGTGCCTCCATGGTGCCAGCTGTGTGCTCACCTCTTGGCCCTCTTGTTTGTCAGCCTCCTGACATTGGGTGCAACTCCTCTCTCTCTTATCAAGAAACACTCGCTTCTCTTGGTTTCCAGGACAGTACGTGTTTCTGGTTTTCTTCCTGCCTTGCTGATTGTTGCTTCTTGGTCCCTTTGCTGGGTTCTCCTCTTCGATTCTGCGTGTAGACACTAAATGCCCCAACCCTTGGCCTTGGATCCTCGCTTCATTTCCTCTTTATGTAATTTCTTTAATTGATTTCTTCCATTCCCCAGGTTTTAAATTCTAGCTATATGCTGATGAGTCTCAAAATTACAACTTCAGCCCTGACCCCTTCCTCAATCTCCCGCTTCATATATCCCATGATTTAAATGGCATCTTCATTTGAATATCTAATAGGCATTTCAAAACCAGCACATCCTAAACAGTGCTCTTGGGGCCCACCGCCCCTCCCGCAACCTGTTTTTCCTTCAAGGATTACCATATGGCTTCGGAGTCTACCCATTTACTTCAGGCAATAACTTGGAACTGTTTTCAGTTTTCCTTTTTTCCATCCCCTTCCTCTCCCCACACCACACACACCTCTGACTTCACCCAGTAGGTGAAGTGGTAAAGTGGTGAATTACCACGATTACCAGTCGTGGTAATCCCATACTCCTTGTTAGTGACCAGAACTAGAACTAGGAGAAGAGCAGTCAGCTGAAGGGATTAGTTACGAATGTCATGTGACTTACATCAAGTCACTGATACTGTGAGGTTTCTGGACCTTCTGGGGGAACATTTCTCTTTTGAAAATGTCACTGAGAGGGGCACCTGGGTGGCTCAGTGGGTTAAGCCTCTGCCTTTGGCTCAGGTCATGATCTCAGGGTCCTGGGATCGAGCCCTACATCGGGCTCTCTGCTCCGCGGGGAGCCTGCTTCTCCCTCTTTCTCTACCTGCCTCTCTGCCTACTTGTGATTTCTCTCTCTCTGTCCAATAAATAAAATCTTTTAAAAAAAGAGAATGACACCAAGAAACTAGCCCATATGTAGCCCATAGTTCAACTGTCCACCACCTATGATCCTATTCAAAAAGAATCAGCCTGAGGAGGACGCTGACCCGTGGGCAGAGTGGAGAGGAAAGAACCCAGATCATAGATGACCTAGTTGGTTGACTGGATCACACAGCTTGAAACCCAGCTTACAGCTGGATTTCCAGTTCTGTGAGACAAAGTTTTACCTGCTGTTTAAGCCTCCTCGAATTGGGTTTTTGTTTCTTATTCTTGAAAGCAAAGTAATGGATGCAAAGAGGAAGGCTGGTCCCCTGTGGAAAGAGTCATGAAATTCCTGCTGGCTGGGTACCTTCTTAGATTCGGTTTGAAAAGGCCCAATTGTGATTCCTGTTCTTGGATTTCTGTAAGATTTCTGGCTCTCCTGTAGCCCTCTGCATCCATACTTCTGATGGTCTCTTGTACCTGAAAGGATGTAACTCAAATGAGAAAGCATTCAGCTCATGGAGCACTTGAGACATATGAAGTTTGCAACCCCTGTGTGTTCATATTAACTTTGTTTCTAAGGGATTTAAGGCTGCTCTCAGTAAATTCTAGTGCCTTCTCTCTACAGATGTCCAGTGAATCTCAAGAATCTTTAGAGAAACAAGCTCTTCGGAACCAAAATGTTTAAGAAAAGCAGAGACTTTCAGGGGTATGGCTTTCAGATCTCGATTCTTCCCTGAAACTCTCTCCTCTCATCCCTGCTCTGCAGGGGTGGCATGTCAGTGATCAGTGCCAAAGCTGCTCTGGCCCTTTGAAAGGCTCCATTTAATTTTAGCAAAACCTCTTTCATTCAGAGTCCTTGTGGAGAAGCACAGTGTAAATCAGTGAAAAGCCTAAATTAGATAATTTTTAAAAGAACGGTAGCTTCATTATTTTCAAGTACACCGAGTAACTCCATCTCAGGCATGAAGTGTTCCTTTGTAGAAGCCCTTAGAGACTTTCCTTAATGAATGGATTATAATTATTGGTAATCAGCATAACAGGTCTCTGCACTACGTGCTTCAAAAGGAATTGAGCATATTAAGTGATTTTGATGTTCCACAGGGCAATTTTATTTACAACATTCATCTGCTTGGTGTATACCCTTCACAGCTATAACCCTCTGTTGTTTAAAAAAAAAAAGAGAGAAGACAAATTCTGAAGACTCTCTCCATCACACGACATTTGATTATCAGAGGCCGAACTAATTCAGGAGAGCGATACGCAGTGGGACTCGTT